GTTTCCGAGGAGCAGCTGGTGAGCTTGAACTGCCGACCTTGCAGTTCAAATGGCTTTGCAGTCTGGCACATTAACCCACAGAGCCACACCAGAACTCTAAACTCTATTCAATGCCTATAAAACAATTTTAAAGGACATTTGCTCAGAAGTATGTGTACAGCAGCTAAAATGGAGGCAGAAAGAAGACATGAAAAAGACTGAAGGAGAAAGCAGATTTTGATGTATGAGTTGGAGAGACAGGAACCAGATAGAAAATAGCAAAAAATAATAGATGGCCGGTACAAGAAGTGAAGCTACTTTTGAATTATATATTATGGTTAATGGTCCAAGGAGCGGCTGGTGGGTTTGAACCGTCAACCCGTGGTTAGAAGATTACTGGTGGTGGTGGTGTGCCATGGAGTTGGTTCTGACTCACAGCGACCCTGCATAGGGTTTCCGAGGCTGTCAGTCTTTACGGGAGCAGAAAGCCTCATCTTTCATCCAAAGAACGACTGGTAGTTTTGAACTGCTGGCCTTGAGTTTAACCGCTCAACTCATAACTACTATGCTACCAGAGCTTATAGAAGGGAAGTATTTATTAGGACTGTGAACTGCAAATGAGTTACTAATTGTCACTATTCTGGGGTAGCGCTGCAGGATAATGCACTGCACCACGTGGTCAGTTTGGACTACAAGAGCGGCGGTTCAAATCTACTGGCTGCACCTCAGGAACCCTATACAGCGTCGCTATGAGTCATAACCGACTCGATGGCTCTTTACACAACAGTCCTTGGCGGAGTCAGTATGTATACTGGGTTAACCACTGTTTTCTAGAGATGGATGGAGAAGCCATGACAGAAATTCACAGGGTCAATGATTTCCTGAAATGCAGACCCCAGCAGGAGTCTAGGGACCCTTAAGTGTTCTCTGCAACCAGTCCCGTGTTGACCATGTGCGTGGCTGACAGCAAAGAGGGCGTGGGGAGAAGGGACGAAGGAGAGGGGCTTCGGAGGGAGAGACCATAACCTGCTTCAGGAATCATCTTAAAATATTACTTTCTCTTTTATGCTTCATTTTAAAAATAGCGTGTTTTTGCTGATAATGGAAGCATACATGTTTATTCTTAGTAATCTGTAAGAAGAGAACATGCATCCGTTTGTTAAATACTATAGCTGTGTCATAGACTCTGTTTAAGTAAGTAAGGTCTCTTTGGAAGGTCTCTTCAACTTTTTAATCCCATAACATCAGATAATTCTATTAGAAATTATGGGTTAAATTATCAATTGTGTCTCTGTGACCCCACACTGTCCCCAAAAATGTCAGAAAGAACTACATTTCCTTGACTAATTGTACAGTGGACTCCTGATGTGGCGCTGTAGGATAAGCACTGGACCACAAGGTCGGCAGTTCAAACTACCAACTACTCCTCAGAAACCCTATACAGTGTGGCTATGAGTTGAAACCGACTTTGTGGCACTTAACAACAACAATTGTACAATAAACAACTCTGAACAGGAAGCGGGGCCTCTTGGTCTGGTGACCTTTGGGTCTTGAAAATGTAGGACTGCCTGGGTTGCTCGTTGGCTGTGGTGGAAAGGCCTCCTTGCATTCGGCAAGCCATCCATGTCCACTGTTTTATAATGCCATATATTACTGCCAGTGGCAAGGCAATAATGAAATCCAGAAATGCCCCACAAGGCAAGATGATCCTTAAACCCTACAGCTAGTCACTGAGGAATTTACATAGGCTGACCTGACACCCACTGTTTGCTCTCTGAGTTCCGCTCCACGTTGTAATTGTACAATTGTGCTGTTGTGTTCATGTCACTGAGAGTCCTCAGTACAGATGACGTCTAATTCATGAATCGTGTCAGTTATTCTGACAAAGCTCTCTTCTGCCATACCTGTTACTACTTTCATCTCGTGTGTTCAATTCCATTTCATAATACAAATTGTACCCTCTCTGTTCCTTTTGGGGTGATTATTCCACTCAGTGAGTGGTTTAAGTGACTGTCAGCATTTTGAAGATCAGTGTGAACCCCGAGTGAACGGTAATCATTACTTCTGGAGTCTGCTGAAAGGAAGCGTCAAGCACATCTCATTTAGCCCCCAAACAACAAGCTTATTAGCTCACCTGCTCTTGCTGGCTCTTTGGATTCTCCGAAGAGATGCCCATTGATGTTTATAATTTGACCAAAGGTGGATTCTCTGAATATGGCTTACGCTGATTGCTCTCTGTCAGTGTGACCCTAGAAATGGAATGGGGGACAGCTCTTTATTATTCTTTTGAAAAGTGAACTAAATAATTACTATACCAAAAGTGTTCCCAAGTCTGGTGACAAAACTCACACCTCATGTACCGAAATGGTTACGTCCCAAAGACCTGGTAGTTATGTGGCAATCAGCATTTTTCAAAAATGGAGACTAATCACATCAGATCACAAAACGAAGGGTGGGTGACCACGTCATTATGTAACTGCCGAATTGCATCATGACGTAACTGTCAAACCACAGAGATCACGGCCCAGCCAAGCTGACACATGGCTTTAACCATCCCAGCCAGCATTATTCTGCTTCGCACCTCAAATTTGTTTCTGCCAGATGTACGACATGAGTAAACAAAATAGTCAGTAGGTTGTTTGTTGTTGTTGTTAGGTGCCACCAAGACGGTGATGACCCATAGCAACCTTATGCACAGCAGAACGAAACACTGCCCCATCCTGGGCCAACCTCACTATTGTTGCCATACTTGAGCCCATCGATGCTGCCACTTGGCCAATTCACCTCGCTGGGGGTCTTCCTCTTTTACTCTGACCCTCCACCTTACCAAACATGATATCCTTCTCCAGCAACAGGTCCCTCTTGACAATATGTCCGAAGTATGAGAGACGAAGTTTGGCCATCCTGGCCTCCAAGAAGCACTCTGGCTGCACTTCTTCCAACACAGATCTGTTGGTTCTTTTGGCAGCCCACGGTACTTTCAATATTCTCCTCCAACACTATAACTCAAAAGCATCAATTCTTCTACAGTCTTCCTTATTCACTGTCAGCTTTTGCAACCATATGAGGTTATTGAAAATACCATGACTTGGGTCAGGCGCACCTTAGTCCTCAAGCTGACATCTTTGCTCTTCAACACTTTAAAAAGGTCTTGTGCAGCAGATTTGCCCAATGCAATATGTCGTTTGATTTCTTGACTGCTGCTTCCATGAGTGTTGATAGTTGATCCAAGAAGAATGAAGGCCTTGACAACTTCAATCTTTTCTCTGTTGATAAGAAGGTTGTTTATGTGTTGTTTATATGGTGGTAAATGTGAAATGTTCGAAAGCAAGATAGTTGGTAAGTGAGGAGTGGGTGTAGATAGCATGAAGAAAATGCTGC